CCGGTGGCCGGGCCCTTCCCCGCCCGCGGAGCTCAGCCGTCCCCCTGCCCCTTCTCCCCGCAGCCGGATTGTTCCCCGAGAAACCCGTTTCTGGTGCCCCCCGTGCGCTGCCACCCCCCCGGCGGCGGAGCCTCCCGCCGGGTCTCGCCGGCATCACCTGCGGCGGCAGCGCTATTGCTCAAAAAGGAAACTATTGGTGAACGTTTGTTTTCCTTTCTCCTGGCTAACAGCTCCCGGTGGTTCTCATGGCAGAGTAAAGTGCATCGCCACAGAAACAGAGAGTTGCCCGAGGAAACAAACAGGAGCTGTTTTGTATGAAAAAAAGTCTGCTGCTGAGATTACGCATTCAGCCCGGCTGCTTCCCAGCGTCTGGCACCCGCGAACGGGAGAGTGTCTCCCAGGTTCGGGGGGAGGGAGGCTTCCCCCCAAAGCAAGAGCCAGCCCTGCCGGCACACCGTCCCGCGGTGGGACACCCCGTCCCCCCCCGGTGCCCGTCGGAGGGGACCTGGCCGGGGCTCCGGCCCTGCGGCCAAACGCCGCTCCCGACGCTCTCCCTCTGCCAAGCAACGGCGTTTCCACCCCTTCCCCGGGGACGGTGTCGGGCAATCCAACATGGGTTTGTGTCAGGGAGTGTTTCCTGATATTCAAACTGAATTTTCACATTTTGCTTCACTCCCATTATCGTCTGTTTACATAGTAAAATCATAATAGCATAAATCATTAATACAATACTACATTATTAATATTTCCTCCTTTGGGTTTCCAGCTACCAAATATTTAGTCTTATGGCTAATGCTTGGTTAAAACCCAAGAAATGAATCAGCTCTCGTTTTTATCACCACTAGCTGTAGGGCAGGAGGGAAGAATTTGAAGGATGTGGTTTTGAATTTCGCCCTGCATTGAAATTTCTCATTCTGGTTTCTAGTTTTCAACCATTGCTGGGCAGCAGAAAATAAACTGGTATTTTTTGGCTTACATATTCCGCCTGAAAAAACAAACCAACCAACAAGAAAATTTAAAAAAGCCAGGCACAGTCAGAACCTACTACCAATCTGACATAGAATAATCCCTCTTTTTGCTTTATAGCTATGACTTTGTAACCAGGCACCACTGTCTGTTTAATCAGATCCGAGTTACACAACCTTTATTGCAAGAATGCGCACTGCCTTTGCCATGTGCTCCTTGCACAAATAAATAAAACACGTGAGGGCTGAACAGCTCATTCCTGAACAGTTGCTTTCCTAAGGGTAAGTCCTATTTTTAGGTGCTAATACAAACATTGTGCCAAATATTTCCAGTCAGGTTTCTGATGCTAAGGCTTATTTTTTGATGCCAAAGTCACTTGGGAAGCCCGCACCGTGGCAACACCAGGATGCTTGGCCAAAAGCAGCAGGACAGCAGGAGCTTCTGGGGCTGCAGGACTTGACGCTGGTTTCCAGCCACATTCCATGCCCTCTGCGGCCCTGGACTTTGCATTTCAGGCAGCCAGTGTTTAATCACATCCCTCTGCACATGGCAGCCCTGGCAGCGCTCCCCTTCCTTCCCTCCCTCCCTCCTTCCCCCCCTCATCCCTCCCAAATCCTTCCTTTGCATGGCCAGAGCTCAGCTCTGCAGACCATGCTTTGGCCAAAGGACAGGCTTGGTGGGGGGTCCTTTCTCTGCCACACGGGACAAGTGCTCAGGCAGACCAGAAGATACTGAAAGGCTGGTAGCAACCCTTCCCAGTGACTGTTGAGGTTTTAAATAAAAGCCAGAGCACATTCAGAAAAGCCACACAGTAGCCAAGAGAGACAGTGTTTCATAAAATACATCCTCCAATTCACTTGCGTTAACGGAAGAGGGAAAGAGTGAACGCAGCCTTTCAGCATCCAAGTTCCATCTACCTCATTTGGTGCCAGAGCCCAGCTCTTCTGTCTTTCTCTTCAGAAAGAGTCTGCACTGGGCGTTTTCAGCCTTATGTTACACGCTATTGCATCAAAATATTAACTACCTTGTCTGTCTGCAAGCTAAGGCACAAGGATCTCAGTGTCAGGGAATAAGGGTTTTAGCACTACGCCAGAGGACATGTTTACGTATTATCACTACAGAGTTGTTTTAAAATCACCATTAATCCAAATAGTTATGGTTATACATCTTGGACAATTTTCAGTTTACTAGTCATATGCTGTGTCCAAGAAGCTGCTGGCTCCAAGGACAAAACTTACCCCAAGTTATGCAAGCTAGAAGAGTCCCTGCTGCATTACGTGTGTCAAAAGACATTTAGAGTGGAGTGACACATCCCAGAGCCCTGTCTGCCATCAGCAATCCCAGAAAACATTGTAACATGGACCATCAAAAACAGCAAACAGAGCAAGGGAAAGCATCGAAGTCACAGCTTTGAGATGGCTATGCTGAGAAAAAACCTGCCTGCCAAGACAACATGAGGAGATCAGAGCCCGCTGTCAGACTACAGGAGTTGGCTGGTGGTACTCCATTGGTGCTCACATGAGATATATTTCCTCTTTGTAAGGGCTCTCCTTACCATCATCCAAGTTTTGAGGAGTCAGAACTCCTGCAATCTATTTACTACTTTGCTACTGCCTCATTTAACCTCTGCCTGGCTTCAAACCCTCTTTCCCTCCTCCCTTCCCCCCAAAAAATAAGAGCAAGATAACAATCACCTCCCAGGGAGTTCTGAGCTTTAATTCCTTGTTGCAAAATGACCCAAGGGTCTTGGCTCTCCCCAGCACAGTACAAACAGCATCGTTTGTCAGAAACTATTACAAACTTTGTGATACCTAGTGTTGATGTATTCCTGTCCCCAGAGTAACAGCTGATTTACTTTCCCAGTGTGTCTCTCTCATGTACCAGTAAGTAATTGATCTGGAAGTAGGTCAGTAGTACAGCATGGTACCCTGAGCTGCTGAGATTTGGGACAAAACTGCTCCATGTCTCTCTGGTGAAGTGGTTTAGCATACACAGCAGGGAGTTTTCTTTGAGCCTGCTGTTAAAAATCTGAATATCCAACATCTCATTGCCATAAGGAATCTGGGAATGGGGAAGCCTGAGAAGATAACACGCAGGGAAGTTACTCCATGGATTATTCATACCCTGTCTTTGCTCTGATTCCCCAAATGTCTCTACCTGCTGGGAGAAAAGTTGCCCAGCAACCACATGGGATGATATTGTAAAGGACGTATACCAGGTTTAGAGAATACTGACAGCCAAATCAAAGCAGTTTGCACACTATGATCACTTGATGATCACTAAAATGCTTTTTCAAGGAAAATGTTTGCCCTGCAAAGCTTGAACTGATCAGTGAAGTCTTTTCAAACTTTCTTTCCACCTCTCCTTTCCTTAGAGCCCTACTTAAGATTTCAAATAATACATCGCAGGTCCAGTTCTTTACTTTACACCCTTCACCATCATTCACACAGGTGCAAAATGGTCACTTTTTTTTTACATCAAGGGCACAAGTGACACCTGATGAAGAAGCAGGCTGGGGGTGGGAGCAGTAGCTTTCCAGGGGGCAAAGTTTAAATGCAGTAAACCTGCTATGTAAGCACAGCTGTGAGCCATCAGCATCCCACGGCCATGTCAGCATGGACTTTGCTGGCTTTTCCAGGCTAACTCTGATGGTTTCCCTCAGACACACTGCTGGGCAGGTAGGATGGGGCAGTGACCTACACAGAGCTGCTTGAGGAGGTGCCTCACCCCAGGAGTCTCCCCAACACACCACAGAAAGGCCCCAGTTTCCCCAGTAAGAAGCACCCAGTATCTCTGTGAGCTGAGTGTGGCTCTATCTCTATAAGCAGCATTTTCCCAAACTAATGGACCCCTATCCTTTCAGTAACGGTGCCACAGACACCAGCCCCAGGGCCCAGGGCTGCCCCTGAGGTGACCGTGCCCATGGCAGCCTCCCCCTTCTCCACAAACTCTTGCAAATAGGAGCCTTGAACCTAAACACCTCATCACTTACTAGGTTATTTTTTTTACTTGAGCAATTAAAACAAAGACCAGAGAAGAGGCCAGCTAGTCTGGCAGCTCAAACAGGAGATTAGAAAAAAAAATTTATCTCAGAGAGTTGGTCGAGGGGGTCTCACCGGTGTGTCCTCTGCTTCCCGCCTCACACAGGGCCCGTTGCTCTGGGGATGGCGACATGGCGAGTCCTGGCCAGAGCCTGCACCGGAGGGATGGTCTCCTCATGTCCCCGCTGCCTCAGCCATAGGTCCCAGCTCCCAGCTACTGCCCAAAGGTTTCCCACCACCACTCTGCTCCCTCGCAGGCAGACTTTGCTGTCCTGCCCCCAGGAGGGCTCGTTCAAACACACCTGGGAGCCGTGGCCACTCCCAGGGCTTTGGTAACGGGCAGCTGTTGCTGGGCCACCTGTGGCAGGGCTTTCCCTCAGGCCTTTCCCTGGCACAAGTGAGCAGAAAAAAAGCCCTTGCCTTTCATTTAACAGTGACCCCCCTCTCTCCAGTGGCCCGTGGGGGTGTTCAGGGCTGGCCACACAAGGTCAGACCATCCATCAGTGCCAGAACCCCCCCAGGGATATGGCTTCAGGCTGTGCCCTCCCCATGGCAGCTGACTGCTCCCCAGGAAAGGAGTCAGAGCACAGGCTCATTAGCCACAAGGGTCAGTAAATAATTATATTTAAATCAGATTAAAAAGTTGGCTCCAAATCCTGCAAACAGTTCACAGCTGGACATCCCATCATTTGAGAAGGGGAATGCCATGGGCGGAGAGATCCCATGAAGCTTTGGCATCATGTATCCCGCAAAGCTCCTGGAAATTTAGCATAGTCGTGGCTGTCAAGATAAAGCACATGCGGAGACAAACTCATTCCCTGGTGGCATCCATCTAACTCGGCCAGAGCTAATGAGGTTGGCATTTGGGCAGGGGAGAGCAGAACTGTGCGACCCTCCTTTGAACGAGCACAGAAAGGGAGGTGGGTGCCCGCTGCCTGTGCCAGGGATCCAGGGCACAGCGGGACACGGCATCAGTCACCCACGACAGACGACTTTTTAGTCATGCAGGGAAAGCAAATAATTTATTTACATATCTGATTGTACAGTACAGCTACCTGAAAGGATCCACATTAGCAAGGACAGCTTTATCGTCCCGAAAAAGTATTTCAAGAAAATACAGAGAAAATAGTGTAATTGCACATTTCAACAGTACTGACATCACTTCACTTGTGTTGTAAATTACAGAACGAGATTAAAAATAGTCATATGCCACTTTTGCTGACTGCTTTTTTCAGTAACAATGGAGTGAGTGGACTTTGCTCATTTTCATACCAAGCAGCCTTTGAAGTAAAAAATAAAACCACCTCCTTGCTTCTAAGGCAGCTGCATAATCTGTCAAGTGGGTGCCAAATTCAGTTAAAAAAATCCTGCTTCATGAGGACGGAGTATATTATTTTATAGATCAAAATGTTGTGTTTTGGGAAATTTACGAGATATTGATGATTTCTTTCTTGTGATTTACCACAATGGATTATCTCACAGTGTCCAGGGGCTGGTGAGTGGGATATTGATAAACCACAAGGTGCGATAGAGGGAACAATTCAAGCCTCTCACCAGATGAGGGGGTCAATGCTCAAGAAATGAAAGCAGCTCAAGAAGAGGTTGGTGAGAGCGAAGATTTCTAGGACCAGGTCTCTGGCTGCCAGTTACAGATGCCCCAGTCTCAGGATGCATCTACTTAGCTTCCCAAATGCTGCAGGAGAGTGCTCTGCTACAAACCACAAGGGAAAGAGTTTATTCTATAGTTGCAAAAAGTGAGACACCCAATTCCTCACATCTGCAAGAGGAAGATCTTGTCATGCAGATCTGGGATCTGTCCTTAGGAAAAGCTGCCTCAGAAGCCAAGGAGAAAACAGAAGAAGTAATCAAAAGCATTTCACCCTCTCTAAGAAGGAGAGGCTATGAATTGGTAATGTTATTTCTCTTTCCATTTGAATGGGCAAAGTAAATCTTGCCCACTCCCACAAAAATAATCCCAGAACTAAAGTTAACCTGGAACGGACAATGTGTTCAAATGAGATTTTGGTCTGATGTCCATTTCAAGTATAAAAAGCAGCAAATTGGCTTTAGTGTGAACAAAAACTGTAATTGCTAGGTCAGGACCGTAACAGTTAGTGTTTTATTATTTTGAATTAATAATGATACTAGAACAATAAATCCAGGGAGTGTGTGTGTGATGTTGCTTTACAAAAGAGACCAGCCATCTGACACAACATTTCTAGAAGAAGACAAAGAACTGCTAATTATGTTAAGTTTCATTTGCTACGTAATTTAGACCATGATCTAGTGCTTCTAAAAAAACCTGTACAAAATGAGTACTTTTTACATCTCAGAGGCACATGAATACAAATCTGATCTATTTTATATATACACATGTACATTACATGAAAACCAGAGATGAAGATCAAATGAAAAAGTATATATAAAAAGTGCCCAAAACAGGAGATAAATGTGAAAATAAAACGTATCCTTACAACAGAGAAGGCACAAGTACTAAAATATGTAACCATGCAAAAAATGTAAGTACAGTCTGTGCAACAAAGCAAAACAAATGGCTCCCACAACTGATTGTACAGTAATTCCCAAAATATCTCAGTATTTAAATATACTGTCAGTGCAACACTTACTGTCCTGTAGCATGCTAAATGTTCACATGATATGAAATCCTTGGTTCCTCTTCTGACTTCCTTTCTCCATAGCCAGCATAACTTAGCTACAGATAAGGTATTAAATAAAACGGGGCTGATGTTGAGTAGTGTAAGATCACTGCTACAGCTCTCTGGGTGGAAGAGTTACTGCAGCCCTCCTGCACCCCTCACTGTCTATCCAAGGTGTGTCTGCCAGAACAATCCCCTCTGTGCCCTTCACCAGGGCACAAGGGGCTTTACAAGGGTTTGCCAGGATGAATGTCACTCTGCTGAGAATGGTGATGCAAAAGCTGGAAGCTCAGATGTCACAGCTGCACCACTAACAACACCTACATTCTAGGGGTAGGTGTCCAAGCTATACCAAAGTTGTCCATGTTTGTTAATATATGTTTTCATTAGGCTTCAAGTTTAAGTAAAAAGTAATCTCTCTTTTATTATATGTTTGAATAGGTACTACTCTCATAGTTCAACAAAACTTTGAGACTTAAGCAGGTAACGTAATTTAAAAAATAAAAGTTTCAGGAACACAACGGAACACCATCAGCTGGCTCCACACTGTGGCAAATACGGCACAGAGACCCTAGTTGCAGACGTTTCTATCTTAATGGGCAGCTGTCATTATCTACAAGGTAGGCTTGCTGGGCTGGGCTAAAAGCTAGTAGGGCTGTGCCTTGCAAACAGAGTGTCTGAGTACAGCATGCTACAGAGAGCTATGCAGAATCCAGGCAAAGCTTATGGGGACATCCCAATGATGCCTTATTTGGATGGACTTCAGGCTTACTCACCCTACGTGCTGACACATCATAAGAATCAGCTACAACATTTTGTCAGGTAGATAGGACACACGTTGTCTTCAGGAGCACACAAAAGGCGTGGACAGGACTGGCCTGGTATAAAGCCATGGCTCAGCCATACTGAAGCCAAGAATATTGTGTTTGTGCCTCCCATTTGCTTAAAGTGGCTGCCCCAAAGCACACAGACACTCTGAAAGCAGGCACAGTGGCTGGGGACAAGACCAGGAGTGTAAATGTCAACAGAAGACATACTGGGGAAGAATCCCACAAAGAAATTACTCTCTTGCACATCAGAGCAACTCCCAGTGCATTGTTCAGGATTACGGGATACAGACCAAACACCTACTGCAATCCTTAACAAACTCTGAAAGCACATGCAGAGTTTCATTAGATAAGAAACCCACACATGCCACATGCTTCAACAACAAACTGCTCCTGGGATCAATATTCTGGATTGAAAAATACTGAGGAAACAACCCTGAGGATGCTGCAACGGAACACAATGCCAGCAACTGTTGAACTATATCCTTTAAAATCAGCGGTGTGAAATCCCGTCATGCCTTCTTGACAATGTTCCTTGAGTAACAAATGACATGACAAGAATATGAGCATTGTTACTTAACAACAGAACCAGTCCAGGAACTGCTCAGTTAAAGTTCAAGTCAGTTTTCACTCAAATTAATATAAGCCAAGCCACTGATCTGGCAAGTGTTTGATCAGCTGCTACTTCCTTCCTTCCTTGGAAAAAATCCCTCAGACCACACCATACAGTATTTGTTTTAAGAGAAAACCACTGTATATTCACTGCCATTAAAGAATAAAAAGTAGTCATTTATTTGTAAATTCTACTACTTAGATTCATGTCATTAGCACTACGATGCAGCGACTGCTGAACAGTGACCGATGCAGCAGGCCACAATGTATGTTTATATATTAGTTTCCAAGCCTTCAATTACTAACCAGATTTGGGAGCCTAAATTCTGCAGGCTGAGATCCTTTCTGGAGAGTAACACAGTTTTACTGAAGTAAAAGGCGCATCGCTGCATTCAGACAGCAAAATATTTGTTGATACACATATCTTTGAGGATTAATGATGCTGTGTTCAACTCCCTGCAGAGCTGGCTGAGAAACATCAGAATCTCTCCCAAGACCATAGAAGGAAAGTTGGCAGCAAAAGTGTATTCAAATTTTTTTTTTTTTGAGAGAGAGGCTTGCTACAAATTTGCATATTAAAAACTCCTTAAAAATAGATGGGATGGTTAGTTTGTCCCTGTTGCACTTCAAAACACAACAAAATCCTGAACAGTTTGAGTTTTTAATAGAAGTTACTCAAAAAGCTGAAAAATACTCTTTTGATGTCAAGATAGTTTTGAATCAGAACTAGGCAGCAGCTGAAGACTGATGTCTGGAGGGAAGCAGTCAATATCAGAAAAATCTCGAGAAACTACATTTCAGGTACTCTTAAGTGCAAGTTTTGAAAGAGGTATTTTTTCCGCAGTAGCTTGTGTGGTGGACTAGCCTGATGAAGGACAGCTTCTAGCCAGAAGCAAGTAATTTTTTTTTCACTGTACAAAAATAGCTGCAGCGGTTTGCAACTGGTTTGACCAGGGTATCACTTAGCTTTTCAGAACCTACAGTAGAACAAACTGAGGAGCAGATCAAGATATAGTACCTCGGATTGTGTTTGCATCCCTGAGGGTTAAATGAGAAGCACGTTTTTGATAGAAGAATGTTTACTGCGTTTGAGATGGTACCACACTTCTGTGTTTGAAGTTATTTACCCAGGGAAGTGAAGCCATTGTTCCACTAACAGTAACAGACTGTACTTCCCCAGCTGGCCTGTGAGCACAAAGGAAGCCCACAGTAAAGAAATAAATTTATCCGGTGCCTCCCTATCTCCCACATCTCCCGTCTGTTCTGCCAATGTGCGTGTCTGACGCCTGATCAAAATACACACTCTGCAACATAGATACCAGATTACTCTTCTCCCTGCCCCAGTGACCCATCAAGTGATCCCGTATTACCAAGTTACCTGCATGTCATAAAACGTGATGACTTCTTTTCTGGGACAGAAGAGTTCTCCAAGGCTTGGACTGCAAGACAAGTTGGTCTATTATCTGTAGTTACTGTAGTTATTCAGTCTAAAAATATAATTGCTAATTAGTATTTTTAGAGGTGGATACCTTAGAGGAAAATGTATCTGCCAGTGAAATGCTTCCCCCACCTCCAGCTCATGTTATTTGTTAAACATCACAAGTGTCTGGAGATGTATTTGAACAATAATAGAAAGCAGTACCATGCGAGGGCCCCACAGGAGTGGAGTATAACTCCTTTATGCAATAAAACAAAGCTACAAACACCACCAACATGGTGGTAAGACAACTCTTCAGATGCAAACACTGGAGCAAGGAACAGCTTCTAAATGCTACAGCAGCTGGGTACAGAGCTACACAAGACAACCTGCAAGTCTTTACAAAATCCATTGCTGGGTACCCCCGCCTAGAGTGTGGCCTTCAGGATTTCAGCCAGATTTAGTGACTATTTGTCACAATTAGTGACTATTCATCTCTTACATATAGTTACCTGCACAAAAACTTGGCTATCTCTATGCTCATGTCTGCTGCTCGCGTCCACAGGCTCTGTGGTCTCTGAAGTAAGCCAGGCTCTCCCCTTCCCAAGTGCTTGGTATAATTTTTAGTTAAATAGTCTTCAACATTTGCTGATGTTCGACCCTAATAGGAACAGGTTTTTAGATTGTTAAAATTCTGAAGCCACGTCCAGTTTACCTCAAATTATTTATAAACAGTCACTGGTCTGACCTGCAACAGCTTTACTCTTATCTAAACCCACTGCACGAGAGCAGGACAGAAGCAGAACTTACCAAGCGAGGCAGGTCGGACAGCAGGGCTGCTGGCTCACCAGCCCTGCTTGTCACAGCAGGTTAGTATCAGCCACTTGACAATTTGAAATAGTCCTTCATGGTCTATAAAAAGAGCAAAGTCCTTGGCACAACCCACAAATGGCACCACACAGAGGGAAATGCCATCACAAAAGCAAAGAGTCCTGTGGGCAGGGAGCTGTAGGTAGCACCAAGCTGGCTTAACTGTTCCTCTCCTACCTTCTGGGTGGCACATCCAGAAGCAGCAGCAGCAGGTGGGAAAGGTGCCCATGGTGTTCCACCTGCTTCTCCACAAACAGAGGCTGCTGCAATTTAGCAAAGAACATTTTACACCATCCCCAGGTGGCAAAGGAGTAGACTTTAAATCCCTTCCTCCAGATTACCTTAGAGCCTCAGGAAACCAGCCCTGAGACATCACTGTTTGAACAAGACTGTACCATTTCTCCCAGAGCAGACATCTTTGTGCGCTGGGATTTAGTGTCCCATAGTTATTCCTCTGGTCCCTTTTGCTTTCCAGTTACTTTACACCTGCCTAATGCAGATAAATAGACACAAATTGTTTTTATTTTCTTGCCTTCAAAAAAGCCTGATTTCAGTACTTCCCCCCCCTCCCATCACTCCAGTAACATGTCACTGAAGGCAAGAGCACAGAGATAGCAGAAAAATATATATATATTTACATCCATAACTGAATACATGTTTTATGTATTCAAATTCAGGAAAAATGCATCACATATACACACCAAGATACATCAAGAGAATACTAGGGGCAAGACACTGCCAACAGCAAGAAATACACAGAAAAGCACAGTCATTGCTATTGTAACATTCTTCTGGGGAGTGTATTGAGTAGAAGAAACATCTCTATGCATTGGGGAAAGCCAGATACTTGGGCCTATTTTTCTGTGCCAGTTGGTGCGAATTGAAAGTGTGAAATTTTTTCTTTAAAAAAAGTGCATGGAATAAAATTATTTTTTACCATTCAACTATCCAAACAATTCCATAAGCTCCTTATATAAGCTACATTATTAATTAAAAAGGTCCTAGCCCTACAGTACACAAATCCAGCTCAGGAGAACACAGGCACATGTTGAAGTCCATCCCTATTTAAGGCAGCATTTAAGCACACACTCAACTTTAACACTTATGTTCTGTCCCACTGACTTCTATGAGCAGTCACAGTACACATTTAAAGTTAAGCACCTGCACTGCTGCTCATCTAAACCAGGATGTGTTCCCTTGCCAGAGCTTTAGATATGCATGTGTGTACTCGGTCTGGATTAGCAACTTCTGCAAGACCAAGCTCTTTTTTTTTTTTTTTTTCCTGCCCTATAGATAAAAGTCACTCCACACCAGACTTCTCTCCACCCCTGTGTTAGGACCCAGCCGGTCCTCTCCACAGCTTGTCCACAAAACATCAACCTGGAAAGACTGCAGTGTCTGGGGTGGGAAAGCAACTCAACACATAATTTCAAGGGCTGCTCCTCCTCCTCCTGATGTGGGCTATTTCATGCAATTTTTTTTTTTTTGTTCCGTTTCTGTTTTTTGTAAGAACTAGAATGTGTTCCTTCAGTGAAATCTTTAAAATTAAGGGTGAGGGGAAGGGGCAGGATCCCAGAATTCATCTTAATGGCCCATGATAAACCCCTGAAAATAGGGGAAGAGATTTGAAGAGCTTCTTAGCCTCAATGCTACAGGGACCTTGGCATAAAAAATACACATGCGCACACACGCTAAAAAGCAGGCTGGCTCAGAGCATCCCAAAGCAGGCTCCAAAGTGATCTTACATAAAAAGCACTTTGTGCTGACAGTGGCAAACAAGTGGATAGTGATTTTTCACAAATAGCAACAATTCTGCAATATTTTCCTCTTCTTCTTCCCTTTTACTTTGTGTCTTTCCTTTTCCCCAAAGTTTTTGTATTTTTTTTGAATCCTATGTGTGGTTTAAGTACTAAAATTAAATCAAATAGGAAATTACACAGTCAGCACCAGTCAGGAACTGAACCTGGGTATGTTAATTGGTTTGTGGTACCCAAATTCCTGGAAGAACGAAAGAATAATTCTTGCTCCTTGTTAGGGCCACATCCATATGTTTCCATTGTCTTTTTTACCTTTACAACTAGAGGTAGAGTCATTTTGTCCAGTATCTAAAACAGCATGATCCAGTTATATTGTTATTACATTAATATACAGTATCCATCTTATCACAGGTATTGAAAGTGCATGGAAAAAGTCTAACCAAGCCAATTCAATGACAAATAACAGTGTACCAAACATCATAAAAACACACCCGCGCACCCACACTCACACGTAGTGTATATATATATTTATAGATTAATTTACAGTATCAGAGTGTTGTTTATCCAGTGGCATGTGCAGAAATATCAGGCAGTTGCTGCTTTTCCTTCTCATATTCTCTTCAATTCTTTATTTCCAAGATAGACGGGTTGTGGTCTAGAATTGCCAAAATGATCTTGTCCATATACTGTCGTAATCTGTAATTTATCTCTTCCTGTTCTTTAAGGGCTTCCATGAGCTGAAACACAACATTTCAAAGTTAATCTTGAAATATTCTCACTAGTTTACATTAACAGCATGAAATTCAGACAGGTGAGAGACTAGACTGCTCAGGATTACCAATTCTTTTGTGATAGGTACTCTACATCTAGCTCCTCCCTGTATTTTTATTAGAAACAATCTGTATGTTAAAGGTCTTTATGGTAAAGGAAGGTGGTGAACTGTCATCACCAGGAATCTTTTGGCAGGTCATTCTAACATACGCATCTGTCCTGTATCCTCACCATGGATGAGCTTCCTCATCTCAGTGCAAGAGCTTCATGATACTCAATTTTTTATGTCTACTGGAATCTGAAGCACTTTGCATGAAAGGCTGCTGAACAGAACAAGGATTTCAGTGTTTTGTACTGAGAACAATATGGGCTGCCTCTGTATCACATGCATACAGTCTTTCAAAAGAACCCCTGCCAATCCCCCCTCAAAACACAGCTAAATACTCATCAAGAACAACTCACGGAATAGTCTGTGTTATGTTATTAAATACATGCGTTTCACTAGACCTTTGACCTGTGAAAGACCCCTCAAACTCTCTAAATAGAAGATTGCTTGCCTTTTATACTCTGCATGTTTACTGCCAAACTGACAAAGCTGCCCAGGAGTCTCAGAGCCCCAGATCCTCCTGATGTGATTTGGATGTCCATTTCCATTAGCCATCATAAAAGTCCCACCTTGAATCTGCAGCTTCTTACCTTCATTTTGATTATACAGGAAAAATGGCACAAGGCAGGTCTATGAGGTTTAATAACCCTGGGCCGCAGTTGTACGGCACCTTCCTCATTTACAGGGGCCAGGAGATTCAGAAGAAGAAATAAGGATTTGTCTTGACAACACCACAAGACCTATTTGCTTTTACCTAATTAGAGTTCAACAATTAAACAGCCCTTCTTCACAGAGGTCTGGTTCAGCAAGAAACTCAAGTATGCACTTCACTTCAAGGGACTGCCCAGGAGCGAAGGCTCGCAGGGTCATTTGGGTACAGACTGTGTAAAGAGGTTTGTCTCAGGACTCCTCTTGAAGAAGAAATGGGAAGTTCCGTCCAGAAGAAATAAAGCAGAGAAGGCAAACAACTCCTTTTCATCTCCTGCATCGCTAACCTGTCTTTTAGTCTGGGAGCTCTTACACTGGCCTGATCTCATCATCTGTCCTGGAGCTTAAAGGAAGCTGTACCAGCTTCACTCAGCCACATACAAATGGGTCTCCTGCAGTATCTTCCAAGCATTACCAGATTATTACTTGCACGCTGCCTACTTTTCTCCAAGAATTCAGCTCTGCTACAGGGAATATATAGCTGAAATTCAAATCTGAGAGCTTGTTACTGAAGTAACTTAGAACTAAATCTAGAGCGGAAAGTGAAAATTTCAGTAGCTAGCTATGGTAATTTCTATATTAAATTAATATCATATTAGCACAATACTCTGTAATATTAAAAATGTTAAATGAATCTATTGTAAAGCAGTTCACTGACATTCTAATAATTCCATTTTTTGAGAGAGACAAATGAAAAAGTTACATTAAAAGCAGCATTCAAGATCACTGTTAAGATTTAAGGCAATCTTCTAACACTTTTGAACTCCTAGCAAAGCAGATTTTTCGGTTCGTTTTTCAGCTTCAGATAGTTCAGCCTTGACAGTTAATTACATTGAAAAACTTATTTAAGTTTCATTGATTAAAAAAGCATATTACCTCATCTCTTGATGCAGAATCAATTTCAGCAGCCAGTGACTGAGCTTTTGTTTGCGTTGCAAAGAGATTTTTAGCTTCATAAAGACTAAGACTTAGGATCTGTCCATTAAGATCATCGTTTTGGTCACGAAGTTTCTGATTCTCCTATTTAAGGATGGAAAGACGTTGTTTTTAAGTTCTTTCTGCAATATTTCATTAAAATATAAATAAATTTTAAAAATTCACAGGTAGCCTGGATGACATAGGGTAAGGCTGCGAGCTAACAGCAACTCTCTTACCAGCAGTGACAAGTTCTCCCTGCCTGAATCACAGATGTTTCCTGCGTTCACAATTTGTATTCCCTGTGCAAAGAAGTCCTAGACAGATGCAATACGGGTCTTGTGTTTGTGTGGGAAGGGAGGGCCAAAATCTAAAGGCAGTGTCCTAAGGGTTGCAGCTATAGGCATTTTTCAAAGCAGCTCTGCACCTTTCACATGGATCAAGAAGCCCTTCCCTGCTCACCTGCTTGAGCCGTTTTATTTCGTGCTCCATTTCCACCTCTCTGGTTTTGGCGTTGAATTCACTCACGCTGGATGAAGAGCTTCTCCCACGTCCAGGACGCTCACATTCCAGCTTGTACAGCTGCAGGTGTTCCAGTTCCTTCCGCAAGTCTTCAATGAGCTGCGGGCATGCAAGCAGGCCATGTCTCTCCAGCCCCCGCACAGCCAGCCCTCCCCAGCAGCAGACATCTCTGTGCTGCACCTCTGTACCCCGACACAAGTGCTGTGTGAGCCTGGCTGAGGCCAGACATTCCCACAATACAGCCACTTGCTCTTCTATGGAAGCACAGGTCACTTAAACTGCTTCAGAGCTGGATGCTGCTCTGATCTCTAAGCATCATGTCTGAGAGGCGTAATTCCACTTGCAATTTTAGTAAAGGAAATGCTAGGGCACACATTCAAGGCTGCAAGTTCTCCAAGAGTTGTAAACCCTCTGGGTCAGGGTTTGCCATTTATTAGGTGCTCTTGCAGCATTCATCACCCTATGGGTACCCCTCCCATAGAAACACAATCCAGTAGTACATTTACTGGATGTTGTATTTTCAGACCTTATCCTGTCTGTCCATTCTTTTTCAGATGGGCTTCCATGCAGATGAGATGTGATTGCCTGGTCTTATATCCCTCTTCACACCTACCTCCTGTGTGGCTTCTCTCTCCTTGTTAAATTCCAGTCTGTTCTGCCGCAGCTTGTCCATCATTCTCTTGTACAAATCCATCTCGTCCTTCAGTCGCAGACTAGTGTCTTCCAACCGATCTGACATGCGTTGCCTTTCCTAGAATAAATGGGGAACTTCATAGCTAGCTTGCAAGTGCATAAGCCACCTTCAGTTTTACAACACAAATCCACAGACACAGCTGGTCATAAGCTGGCGTGTGTCTCAGGACATTCTTGCCACTAAAGGTGACCGATGTCTCAAATCCATCGAAATTCTTGTTTAGGGAAGGCAAGTTAAATAAGCTGGGTCAATCACTCTATGAGTTTGCTCTTACACAAATCAAGCTGCTGTTTGATTGCTCAAGCACTCAGGAGTTTTGTTACCTCATCTAATCTCTCTGTTTGCGATTTCAGCCGTGTGACAGTGCTTTTCAGCTCACCATTTTCTTCTTCCAGTTGCTGAACCCTGTGTCAATAACAAAAATCTTACAGCAAATCTTCAAGAATGCAAACATGCAAAACGACATGCTCTAAAAAACCATTTCACTTGCACTTGATAGAAAGACCAAGCAAGAAAATCTTTCTAATCTTAGCATTTTTTATTATGAGCTATTGTGTGCTTTTTTGCTTGTTTGTTTTTAGGGTCAAAGATGCTAAACTGACACTCAGATTCTCATGCTCCTAAAAGCAGGTATCTAAAAAGAATTAAGTAGGAAGGAAACAAATGCAGACACAACTGTTTGCTACAGCTGGTCACAATTCCCTCCTTGAATCCATGCCAAATATCCAGCTAAGCTGTCTACACGGGCCACGTGGATTAAAGAATTAATGTAAAGCATCCTCCAAGCTTTTGGGCATTAGACATGCAACTGCACAGCTACTCGATAGAACTGCTAACCTGTAACCATCTGTGCACTGTCTGGTTGTGTTATGTGCAAAATAAAAATGAAGAGAAGAAAAACTTGTACTCTGTTCTGGAAGGCATCAAGGTGTTTGTTACCTTGTATTTAGCAGTTCAATTTCGGTGCCTTTCTCTTTTTCATATTTGCTGTACGCTTCTCGATGTCTCTTTATCTCTTCTTCCAGAGTCTGTTCTGCTGATGTCTCCTGGTCTTTCAATAGTTCTTCTAGCTCATGAACTCTAAGGAAACCACACCTCATTTCAGTAACAGCTTCAAAAGTACTTAAAAAAAAAAATAATGTGTGCAACTTCATTGCTTCTCTCCTCCCCACTCCTTTATTGCTTTCTACTTCAGTATCTCTCTTGGCATTTAACCTCTCCCAATATCTCTCTTGGTATTTAATCTTCCAAACAGCATAGAATTAAGTAGTATCAGTTCATCTATGATCCTTTCATTCTCAATCTCAAGAAGCTGGGACTATGATCCAGCCTTTTGCTCTTGCTATGTGCAAGAACAAACCCCAGTGGTAACCTCTCTTGTAACAGAAGAGCTTGCTCTGTACAAGTCAGTAACCTCTCTGTACTATGAAACTTGCCTGTAAGGCCTCTGCTTGCAGAAAATTCAGCAAGAGCCCTATTCCACTTGGATTTCTCAGATGAAGCCTTATATTATTTTGTCTGTCAGCATTAAGGCAAAAGACTTGGTTATATTTTACAGGTAGAGGTGTTCCTTCCCTACAACTTTGTTCTAGCTCTGCTCTGACATGATAAAGAGAACTGGCTCGGTGCTTTATTACCTGTGCACTAGCTGTGTGTTCTCTTGTTTCAGTTTGCTCTTCAGGTCACCATTTGTCAGGCTGTCGTTCTCCAGTTCTGTCACCTTTTTTTCTAGGTATGTTACCTGAAAGGGGAAGTGGAAAAGAACTGAGAGTTTGAATTTCTCTTCATACACCCCCTTACTGTAATGGCTACAGAGGGCATTTACCTATACCACCCTTTTTAAAAGGCGGGATGCTTCCCTACAAAACCAGCAGCAGAATTAAGCCCTGAAATTCCAAGTTCCTTAGACCCTGCATCTTCCCTGAAGGTGATAAATGTAAATACACAATAAAGAAGTACTAATACAACGCCTAGATCTGCACTTGCACAGTTCTTGCATTTTTGTGAAGCAAACTCATAATGTTAATGGAATATCAAGGACATTTTGAATGAGCTACTTCAGATCACTGGTAATGTGAGCAAGAGAGTTTTGTCAATTGATACATGTCTCCAGCAGGATTTTGCTGGGTACATTAATCGCAACACACACGGCCTCTCACCTTTTCAGTTATATCATTATCACAGGAGTCTATACTGTCTCTGAACAGGTCTTCTGTGCTGCCATTACTGCTGCTGAAGTTACTGTTGTGGAAGAGTTGTCTGAAAGATCAGAAGGATAATTATTTTGTCTGATGAGGACGAAGGAAAAAGTGTCTGGGTACTGTCTTACAGCCTGGCTTTGCACTTTGAACATCCTATGCTAAAATCTGTGCAATCATTTCAGTGACAATTACAACTGTTTAAGCACAAGTCTTACAAGAGACTGGTAGCTAAATGAAGTCATACTGAGCACAATCAATGACATTAGTTCTAGGGTGTGAATTCTTTGTTGCTTTTGATAGGATCTGCCGCCAGCATTAGCATAGTTTAAAAACTACTTAGCTTTAGTCACACTATGTACAGTGTTGCATTTGCCTTATTAGAAATTTAAAATAAGGTCACCACTGCACACTGGTTGGTATAGTTCATCTAGAAAATTTCATACAGTAAGAACTTCTTTAAAAAAGAAAGCTGCAACAAAAAAAAGAAATCTCAAGCAGTTCCCACTACAGAATACTGTCAGAATACATAACACTGGAGATTATCTAAAATATTCTTGAAATTTACAGCCCTCCACAGCCCAGGGTTGGTTCATTCATCCTATGTGCTTTTTAAAGGGATGCTCTTGCTTTCCTTTGCATTTCGGTAACAAAAACAACAAAAAGGCCCACATTACAAGGGTGAAAGAAGCAATAGCTGGACTGATAGAATAGCAGTATAAAGGAACAAATTTGGCAGCCAAGGAAGCAACTATCTATGTTCTTAACAGAGCTCTTTTCAGGTCCAAGACTAGCAGTGACTTCTATATTCTGTAACATCCCTAACCAAATACAAGCCCTTTCCTTTGAAAACTTGTCTCAGCACTTTTTTGTTTCCCTAAACTTACTCTTCCTCGCTCCTCCCACCCCCACTTATAGAATTGTTACAAGTGATTCCACATGTATTCATTAAAAAAGTTGAAGATTCTTACCTTCCAAAAGCTGTGCTTGATATTTTCCTGTTAGGGCTACATGGATACAGAAGGAATGATATACGAATTAAACACTTATTTGATCAGTGTTGGGTTCAATCTTAAGTCTAAACTCCAGCTGAATTGCACAATGAAATATAATACTGACTTTTTTAGTGAAGTAAAAAAAAAAGATTCTGTGAACAACATTCTTAGTATCAACAATGTGAAGATGAATGGAGCCACAAATGACTGTCAACATTAATAAGTCAATTTGCAAATACTGTTATATTTAGCAGAGATTTGTCAGTGTAAGTCAGAGCAAAACTAAAATTAGACACACCACAAAGGGACACTGAGTTAGTGATGGACATTTATTCTGGATTCCCAGTTTTTAGATGATGTTTATAAACAGTTAGTTTATCCTTCCCCATAATGCTTCCCAGTTCAGCACAGGAACTGAAATGAATTCCATTTTTACAGTTCCCTTTTGCAGCCAGAGACTAGTATTATCTAAACGAAGGACCAGACTCCAGACAACAGATGAGACCCAAATCAAAATATCCAGCTGCATCTCTCAATAAGAGGATGCCACATCTGTGTGAGCACACAGACACAACTCTTTGTCAGAGCATCGCCCTTTTTCAGCCTCACTCATTAAATTACCAAAGCCCTAGCCAGTCATGGTCCCAGTGTTAGCAGCTCCTTGCTAGGGCAGGAATACTGTTCATACCATGTACTATGCTGCTGTGTCATCAAGAGAAGAAGCAGTGCAGTGAGCTCTCTGCCAAGAAACATGCAGACAGGCAGGATTTATATTCAGTTTCTAGGGGGAGCTAGAAGCCCACCAAATAATTTCCTTCAAAACCCCTAGGTGATAGCTGGAAGCACTGGATTCTTTCCAAGTGCTCAGCACTGTTCAGAAGTGGATAGAGAGGTGAAGAGAGAAATGTAAGGAAAAAGCTAAAATTGCACAGAACCCCAGAAGTCACTTCTGCCACAGGATTCACTAATTTTCCAAGCTCCATTTAGGACAAAAAAAAAAATCCCACAGGAATGAAGTACCTCTGCTGACCAACAGCTTTAGGAGTGGTTGGACTCTATGATCTTAAAGGCCTTTTCCAACCTAAGTAATTCTGTATGTACGTTTATATGCATTAGCTAAGCATATGCCAGATCACTCCTTCCCACCTGGAGAAAAGAGCAGTCAACTGTAGATCTGCACTAAGTAGCAGAGCAGACCCCACTTCCTGGGAAAAATTCCTGGAAATACCACTCTCACTATGCAATCAAATAGCTCATTGGTTAAAATATTTGTGTTTATTAATGCTGTCTGCACCTTACATCAGAAAAACACTTATTAACTAACCAAGAACAGCGTTTTGCTTCAGGTGAGATGTCAAGGCCTGAATTTCTTGCTGTTTCGTAAGAACATCACATGTGCAAGACAGAATGGGACACAGGGAAGGAGAGGGCTCTTTCTTCCTCTCCTCCTGCTACTACTTATTCCCATTTCACGGGGTCATTGCTAACAGCAGTGCAATAGGCTGCTTACCTGTTTGCTTTCAAGTTTTTCAGCCTGGCTTCCAAATCGTTGAGTAGATTTATCTTTTTGCAGCACTGTGAGCAGTAAACATCCAGTAACTCGCTGTTATAAACATGCCTCATTTTTCGGGGCGTTTGGCCAGCACTGTTTGCAGGAAAGGAGAGATGTTACTGGCTGTAATAACCAACTAACAACAGATTTTCCCCTTGACTGTGTGTCTGTGTGTCAGAATCACAGACTGGGGACTTGGGAACCACCTCTAATTGCAGCTCATGTAACTTAGAGGTGATGATGGGGAATGCCAGCCTTAGGGCAAGTCTACCTGTTTGAATTGAGGCTTTACACAGAATGTGTTCTGGGTATCAGTGGAAAGAACCACTTTGGTGAGTGGAAGAATAGCACAAGGTACACAGAGCCCATGCGATGCACGTACCAAAAGCAGCTACACTAGTATGTTCCACCTCAGCAATGTCCCCCTCTCATCTTGCCCATCTTCCCACCAGAGCCTGGCATGCAATGTGAAGAGTCTTTTCTCCAAGAAAAAGACAGGAAGATGAAAAACAAAGCAGTCTGATAAGAAGGAAGTCACATGACCCCCCTCAGATGGTAGGACAGAAGGAACCCTAGAATGAAGGGGAAGGGAGAAGTGGACATAGGTCTGAAGAGGACGTAACAGTAGGTCTTGGCATGATAAAGAGAAAATAAATTCAAATAAAAAAGAGCAATCATGACATGAAGTGCACACAGCCCCTCAGGAATGGGAATGGAAAGGGCTGCATAAACCTGAGGAAACAGGGGATGAAGGACACAAGCCATCATCATGAAGGGGCAGCGGAGAGGGGTGGTGACTCTGTATGCATGACAGAGGTGGCAAGGTTGGATTGCAGAAGTGTTTAAAACAGAGGGTAGTATTTGGGGGCTGCATGTGGAACAGAGGGATGGAGTAAGCTTATCCTGTGTTCGCGATGAGCCACAAGACCTTCGTGTGATCCAAGCAGACGAATCCTAGAGCACCTTCATGCTCGGCTCTTCCCCAACCCTGCTCACCCATTCCCTTGCTTGGGGAAGGATTTTAAAATCAGCAAGTCACATAAGAGCTATAGAGTCTGAGGTCATGTCCAGGAAACTGGTGGACTGTAGTGTTCAGTTCAGTTAAGTTCCTAACAGACAGCAGCTACCTCCTTAGGTTCTCTAAGACATTCAGAGTCAATATGGATGCTTGTGTCAAACAAACCCCTTTCCATACACAGCACTTCACCTTACAGGTTAGTGCTAAGGATCTGTAGTATCAGAACATTAAAGAGAAACAGCACTTTTGCAGGTCTTCTCTCCACTGCAGCAGGGCTGGTGCGTAGCGCTAAGCTGGTTTCCAGCTTGCAGCAGGTAACTTCCAATATTAGCCCCTAACTGTGAAATCCACCGTTTACAATAGAAAGAAATCTCTACAAGCAAAACAGCCCAGTTATTTCAACAGAACCCAAGAGAGGTTACCAGGAACAACATATTTGCTATAGCTCTTATTATTAAATGTAGTCTGTCAACAGCAGGGCAGAAAATGAACTGATAACATTTTGCTTTTAAAGTGAACCTATGTAACCAGTGGTATAGTCACCCATGCTCAGAGAAGAACAAAATTGAAAAATTGTTTGTTAATGAATAAGCAGCAACCTGGAAGATACAGATGAGCCAAGGTCAGAGTAGGCGTTGGTTCTGGTCTCATCATCAGGGCATGGGCTACTGGGAGTAAAATCCACATCATCTCCTTCCCCATAGTCTTCAAACTGTTCTTCATTACTGATCAGAGAGGCGGTGGAATAAGTTGAGAGGTCAGATGCGGCAGAAGGGTTGTGAGGACTTGACCTGAAACAAGAGGTCAAAACGTCTCGAAGGCCGACTTTGATAGCGTCTCACCTCATGTGGAATCTTCCACCTTTACAGCTTGTTCCCTCATTTGAAGTTGTAACCCACTTACTTTGTGCTAACAAACTGAAGTGCCAAACACATCTGATGCGCATTTGACATAGTGCCTTGAAAGAAGAGCATGAGAATCCATAAACAAGCTACCTGTGAGATGGGTTTGGATCAACAAAACCCATTTCACTTTAAAGAGCACACCTCAATAATCCTCCATCATCATTTCCATGTCGTACTTACGGGACTTCTACTCTGAATGCAGGAACTGTGCAGACAACCCCAAAACACATGGGATAGTGAGAGGAACATGTACAAGACAGAGGCTGTGACTCTATTCCACAATCAGGGTTCACCATTAATTCCCATAAACCCTCTCCCACACCCCATGAGCTCCAGCCACTCTTTTGTGTGGCCAGAAACAAACTCCAGCTCACTGCATGCCAAAGAGTCACTGGAGGCTGAGTTCTTGCTCTTCCTTCCATTGTGACAAATTGTGTCTTTCAGAGGAGATACAGACCACAAGAAAAGGGTGAGTTACTACCAAAGAAATACCTTAGATAATGCCAAACAGGTAGGGAACAGCAGGGTGCTGTGACCTCAGAAAGGACTTACAGGTACACAGCTCAGCAGAGCAAGGCTCCATAGGAAAGTAGCTGGTAGAGCAGTTTTGAACACATCACATCTAATACAATGGAGGAAGTTTGCTGCAGAGGGTACACGATGATTCTCCTGCCCAGAATCCAGACCACCCTGCAGTCATGCAGTGTGCTATCTCACAGAGGCAGGTATTTCACACAGGTTTGCTCAGCTCCCACCTCAGTAAGGCATTTAAAGAGACAAGCCAGTAAATTCACGTACAAGTTCTTACAAACTAACTTCTCCCTACAGAAAACACACATCTAAGGCCTGAAATACACACTGCACTTGTGAAGCCCTGGAGCTGCTCAACATGTTACTGTTCCTACTACAGAGCAGAATCCAGCACCTCGCTGCAATACAGACAGGGCACTGATTCAATCTGCTAATGCCTCATGCAGACTGGGGTAAGGTTTTCACTCCCTTTGCTTCAGCTCACAGTGTTTGTATCTTTGACTCCACTGGCTGAGCCGTGGGACAGTAAATCCAGCAGCTCAACAATATTGCCTCCCAGGTTTCTTCTGAGTGTACCTTGAGCCTCTTAACCATTCCCTGCCTTTCAGAGACTGAGATTCCTCTTCCTGTAATACTACCCTTGTGAGCTGTAAACAAGAGATGCAACAGTGCTCCTTTGGTGGATGGTGCAAGCATTATTTGCATATCCCTTCCCTCCAAAAGCAATTAGTAGAAGAGGAAACCTGCCAACATTTCAGATGTATGCTCTTTTGTTTCTCTTGTTTTGATGAGATCCATTTATAACCTGTAATTCACTTATCTAATTCACATTAACAGAAATTAGGGCAAGTCAAGCCTGGCACACTATTAAAGGATGAAGATCATATAGACAGGAATACTCATACTGGAAATAGATCAAACTTATCTAACAAGACTCCTTGGCTGGGAGACAGATTAATGAGAATCTCAACGCATCACACTAACATCTATTTTTTAAGAGCTGCTGTGCCACAGACATACTGTGTATTGATAAGGTTTTTAGTGACTATGATCTGTGTCACTGCAACTGCTGTTTTCATCTCAATGTTGTTATACCAAGTCAGCTTAGGAAGGAGTTCCTCGTAACACTTCCACCAGGACAGAGGTAGATGACCAGTCCTCAGATGGGATGATAATGTATACTTGTCCATAAAATCCATTCTCCAGCATAAAAGCCCTGGAACATCACCACTTGCCAACAGACTAGTTTGGCAGTCTTACGCATTACCTGGCTAAGTTTCTCTCACAGTAGCTATGCAGTCACCACTACTGGACCCATCTAATAATCAATAATGTTGCTTAGAACTTTTAATTTGCAGTTATTCATAAGCTTTGCCAAACTTTAAACTGCTTGGGTTGAAACAGTCAGGGTAGATCCTGAACTCCAGCCTCAGGTTGGAAACTATCTGGGAATCATGTCATTTTTAAGGTAGTTACAAAAAGTAGGTGTTTTCCACCGTTCTAACACTGTCTGAAGGAAGCTTTCAGGTTGTTTTTTTGGTGGTGGTGTTCTTTTTGTTTGTTTGTTTGTTTGTTTTAAAGCTATTTCCTGTTCTTCAGAGCAGGACTTCACAGAGCACTTCTTCAACAAGCAGATATCATGTCTTGGCCAGGGTAAAAATCTCTTATGGTGTCTTTTAACACAAAAGCATGAAGCTCCCCAAGTGTTTTCCCACAGACTTATCAAAGCTGAGGAGGCCTCAGAGGATAAACCAAGATTTATTATTAGTAGTGCAGGAGCTCTTAGTAGTTCCTGGCCCCCCAAGACGGAGGGCACAGGACACACAATGCCCATCCCGCCCCCTTCATGAGAGCCTGAGCTGGGAGGAAAGACAACTCATTTCAAACTCAGCATGGGTAAAAGTCAGCCACCACAAGGATGAGTGCTTTGAAGAAGTAGCAATGGCAAGGCAAGGCGACAAGTTTGACAAAGAGCTGATGAAAACTGGAATTATCTTGAGAAAATCTCTGGGATTGCTTGGGCAAGTAAGGAGAAGGCCAGACCTCAGCTGCCTGAGAAATGCAGGAGGAGGGTAGGAATGAGGCTGCACAGAGAGCACCCGAGGAGGCCCGGGAGAGGGAAGGAGGACTGCCTTAGCAAGGAAAGAAGGTCAGGAGGCACAAACCAAGATGACAAGCCAAAAATAGGGAAGACAGGGCAGAGACTTACACAGCAAGCCCAACTGAACCCTTGTCCTGTGGTACTGCATTAACTCAGCTCAAAGAGGATTAAATCAAATTGTGTCCCTTTGCCCCAGACGGCTTTTACCAACACACCCCAGGTACACACCTGGGAACAGTCAAATTAGGATTACAGAGACACTCTTGTGTTAACAGCAAACTATGGTTACACACGCACATGCCAGGACACCCTGTGTTAAACACAAGTTACTGCTGCGCACTAGATGTTATGGAAAATTAGAAGCACACAGAACTATCTTGGTACATGGAGTTGCAAAGCAAACCTGCAGAGCCCACATCTTTAGATAACTAGATGTACAAAAGGCTAAAGCAGCATTCCCCATATTACACTGCTTTGCAGGAGGTATTTATTTTCATTCCAGCGTATAAAGGTTATGGGAACACAGAAGATCTTAAGTTTGGGGGATGCCAACGCAGTGATCCATTCTGGAAAAACCCAATCCTTTCACTTCAACACACAACATGCAAGTCCCAGGAGCGCCCACAGAAGATGCCAGAAGGAGCTAGGGCTGAGACTGCCTAAGCCACTTAGAGGACCTGGACATCCATCTCTCTTATATTGTAAATGAATATTAAGTTTAAAAATCCTTCAGGCATCCCCAGCCTCCCACAGTAGGGATTAGTCACACAAAGGCTCCTTCCTCCCTGGTCATTTTGCACATGCCTCAAAACAGGGCTGCCATGAGGCAAAACCACCACTCACTTGTCACCAGGCAGAAACAGGCCACCAAGCACACCGTCCTTCTCCTCGCTCCGACACACGTCGGAGGCCTCCGAGCTCTGGGCGCTCTCAATAGCACTGTCCATGTCAGACTCATGGTGAACCTCTTGCTGTGCCAGAGTCATCGCGTCGTCATCAGGAAAGAGCTCCGACTCGCTGTAGGCGCTTTCACTGTCCAAGTAGGCACAGTCCTGGATTTCACCACCCTGGCAAAAGAAGAATTAGGAGGCAATTCAGATCATCCTTCAAAGCAGTTAATAGGATACAGGAGAAGCAACAACCCACTCTCTGGATGCCCTGGTAAGCAAGAGTGATACTGAATAAAAGCCGTAAAACAAAAAGCCTGACCTGCTTCACAAAGGACAGTTTGTGCAAGCCCCTAAGGTACCTTGCACTTTCCACAAGGGCTGAAATACTGTGACTTGCTGTCTCTCTTCTATAGCAGAGAGGGACACGACACTCAGATATAAAATGCAGTCAGTTTTGCCCTAATTTACTATCAAAATGCACTTGAACTAATAAATATCCTCAAAATTTTATTATAAAAGAGGCATCCTCTCCAAGAAAATAATCACAGGACTAACTCTCAGTGACTTCATGTATTAATATTGTTGATCAAACAAAAGCAAGCTGGATATGTGTAAGAGTTTACTCTCAAGGATGGGTAAAAATCTAAGGTGAAAAAAGAATTGTCAAGTGTTTAAAACATTTATGGTAAATATTGGTGACAATGATATAAGAGAGCAGGGAAAAAAAAAAAACCAAAACAACAGAGCCATCTGTTCCTGCTTCCTGGAACCACATCTTGATTAAGTATCAACTAAAATAAGACATCATTCTCATTACTGCAACACTTTGCTCTTGCTATTCCCTCCTCTCCCTCCCCTTCTTGTCCCATGAACACTCACAATAGCCAAGATAAGCTGTTTTCTATTTGCTTGATCCTGAGGGACAAATAAAAATTCTTAATTGAAAAAATCAAGCCTAAGATTTTACTCTGTCCTTTGTTTGATACATAACCACACAATACTGCTTTGACAATTCCCATCCAGCGTGACACAAATAACCCATGCCTCCAGAGCAAGTCCTGCAAATGCTCCGACTCAGAGCTCCACTCCGAAGCTCACCTGCAAGCTCCAAGGCAGCTTCACCACGGAACGACTGCCAGCAAGTTAAGACAATCACCCATTTAAGGCTCAGTTTACTGGCACTGTAATGAAGCACTTCATTCATGGGTACACCCCTCATATTTAGGCCCAACTGTCATCCACCCAGCTCCTTCCCTGGGAATCCCAAGGCATTGGCAACCTGGCACCACCTCAAGCACCAGCTGCCTTCCTGGGAAGCACGTTCACTGGGATGCTCTTACAGTGGCACCGCTCGCAGCAGCACAGCTTCAAGTCATCTCCCACAGCCTCTGGACACTCCTGTGCTGGAGCCAGAGAGGCTTAAACCCCCCCTCTGCAGCGCTAGTGCTGTTCTGTGCTGATGACAGCAATTTTTCTCCGTGCCTTTTTCACTTCAACATGAGAAGCGTCAGCCAGAAGCAGCAGCTTTTTAAGATCTGCAACAACTGCTACTAAAAATGCAGGTCTCACCTTCCATTTTTTTCCTGAAACGCTGATTTATACGACTGTGAAAAATACTATTGTATGGAGACTTAAGAAACTCAAAACAACACCACCTGCTCAAACCTAGCTAATTAGCAAACACCCAAGCAGTCAATAGGACAGCTTTACTTGCAGTGTTTGAATCTCTGAGCAGGTATCTGGATGCTTTTCCAGCTAAGTTTTCAACAGGTTTTCCAGATACACAAGTAGCACCAGTAAGACACTTCAGCACCACTATACAGTAATAAGCACATGTGTATAGGCCTTTTCTCACTTTTTTGTGTCAGCCTTATTCAGCCTGAAACTCTCCCTAGGTACCTCTCCAAGAGATGTCCAAAAGGATTTATTCTCTGTCTACGTCATGCAGTATTTATTGAAGCCACTCTGCCTCATGCAATCAAATTTCTAGCTCTGAGCCACAGCACATTCAGCGTGGCCATGACCCCTCATCCGCAGGGAGCTGGTGGTTTGGCAGGTCAGACACCAGCCGTGGAGTCTGCCCTGGCCCTGCTATGGCCCCAGGTCCTTCAGCACATCTTCTGACCTGCACCTTGCATCCTCATAAGCAAGCAGGGACAATGACACTGTTGTTTGCAAAGTACCTTGGGATCTACAAATAGGCAGCACAAGCACTAAGATCTTTGTGGTCCGTATTGAAAAAAGCAATTAAGATGTTTCAGAAGTATCTAGGAGCATTGATGTAACATTTCCCCAAAGTTTCCTCCTCCTGCACGCTAAGCCTCACAGGCACAAAGCTCTTGTTTCTCTTAAAAAGTTTAATACCACAGAGTCCTGACTGTCATTAAGGAATTGCACCAGGTGGTCAAAGTCTGATCCAGGAGGGGAAGAGAGAGGTACAGAGCACACAGTGGATCCCTGAAGTAGGAGTTTGCCAATCAAAGGAGGAAAGGAAGAAACAGTGCCTGCCTCCAATTAGCCTGTCTTGGAGAAGTCACTGCTTAAGCAAGCTTTTGCAGCAGGAAAATCTCACTGGTATTAAACAAATTAACACAAGAAAGTAAAGGTCAGGAAGAGCACAAACTACTCTCTTTTTGTTCCCTGTAGGTAATACCACACATTTGCTTTTTCTAATAATAGCAGCCTAGATGCTCTTTAAAAGAAGTCCATTAGCAATTAAATGTGCAGTGTCATCTATAAAGACTAAGGTCTCACTTTTCCTTCATGTCCCTTTCTGGCAAACTAACCTTCATATATTTACTTATATTACAGTACTCATCTATAGTTACACAGACTGCACTGTACCCATGCTGGTCAGTACCAGGTAGTCTTGTTCAAAGTGGAATTGCTCTGCTCCTAGACTTTCTTCTAAGCTTCCTTTAAAAAAAATAAAAATAGAGAGAGAAAGAAGAAGAAAAGAAAGCTTTTGGAGGCAATGACCCATCATAAGCCTGACCACCTGCTTTATAGCTTCTGAAATGGCTCACTCCAAGATTGGGACCCCTCCTGGAAGCTGGTCCTCCCTTCTGCTGACACCATCCTTGAGCTGTGGGATGCCCAGGGACTGATTGGGACAGGTTAAACAAAGAACATGGGCCAGCCAAGGTGCTCTGAGGAGCTCCCCCTCCGACGCTTCCTCCCAGCAGGGAAAGCAGATGCCACACAGCACACCACATCCCGGGCTGTCAGCCCTTCTTTTCTCAAGTCTGGCACCTAGCCCACAGACCTGTGCAAAGTGGACATTTAGAAAGTACGTCTCAGTGACTCTTCTGAGTACCTGGCAGCCAAATTGCACACTGAAGACCCCACTGGTCAAAGCAAGCAGCATGACCAACAATCCTGCCAGGGCGGCTCAGCTCCAGCAGCTGCTTATTCATGCTTTTAAGTGCTCAAGGTCCACCTACCAATCAGTGCTGAAAATCACTGTTTCAGCAAGATGTGCAGAAAGTAGGACCAGTGACAGCCACTGCGCTGAAGCCTGCACAACTGTTTTCTGCAGATAGGAACAACATGCTTAGTTATTAAGCTTAAAGAGCTTAAGGGTGGGGAATCACTACACCCCTAATAAAGCAGCGTTTCCAGGCTCAAGAACACCTCTGATGTGCAGCACAGAAATTCTGTGAAGCGTGGGACTTGGACAAAACCACCCAGGTGCCTCCAGCTCCCTTGGTGAAACCAGCCTTCAGTGCCACAGTCACAACTACACATTTAATGAAAACTTTTTCTTTAGCGGCCTAAGTAACCAGTAGAAGAAAACAGACAAAGCACTTTTAAAACAACTAATACAGGTTAAGAAAGCTACTACAAGAAGTTAGAATTGGGGCACATCGCTTGTAAACAATATACAGGCACCCACACCTTACTGACTAAAGCTATGTTTGAAGCTGTAATTGTTCAGTGATCACAGTTTTTCACAGGACCATACTTTCAATGATGCCATCTAGCACAAGCTGCTTACAAACCACACCTAAGGAAATTAAACTCCTAAAAAAAAAAAAAAAGAAAAAAAAAAAGCTGATTGCACAGCTTAACCTCTCAAATTATTCCTTCATAGTTTAGGTATCTACAGTACTTCATGTACCAAATTAGAGGCTGGAGAGAACAAGTGTAATTCAGGAAGCCTTAAAAGAACTATCTTGAGTTTAAACAGTATGTTAAAAATTAAGAGACACTTCTATCCTGAGTCATTTGTTTTCGGTGTACATGCCATTAGCCGAAACCAGTAAGAAAATGGGGTTCTGATGACCTGAATATGAATCACTGTGCTGCCAGGCAGTTCCCTTCTTTGTTGGCTGACTCAAAAGAGATGAAGAGGTTGCTTATGATCTTGGAAGATTCACACAAAAAAAAAAAAAAAAAAAAAACAAAAAAAAAAAAAAAAAAAAAAAAATTAAAGACCAAAATATTTCAAAAGGGACTAAAGGTATCGATTTATTTTTGCGATGTAAAAAAAAAAAGAAGAAGTTTCTTTTTTTTTTTGAAAAAAAAAAAAAAAAAAAAAAAAAAAAAAAAAAAAAAGAACGTCAAAATACCACCAACACAACATAGCTGCGGGTAGCTTTAAAGCAGCAAGTACTTTGCACTTTATCTAATCGGATGCTCAAGATAACTCCAAGTGCTTCACAGGCAGTCGGCCAGCGCTTGTATAGCAACTGTTGAATATTCAGCAACAGTTTGCTCTATAGAAGCACCTGCTGCCCAAAGATCCAAGGCCACTTCACAGAAACTAATGAATTCCCTTCCTCGAAAGAGGCGATTGTGTGGCTGCATTGAAGCCAGATGAGTAAGCAGAGCCTGCCTTTGCACAGCCACCCCAAACAGAAGCAGGAGCCAGAAGACAGCGATTCCCATGGATTCCTTCTGATCCTTGCGGGGCAGGAAAGCGGCATCAGCATTAGGTAGGTATGGGAATAAAGCTCTGCCTTGCCCTGCAGTGACCTGGCTGGGCTTTCCCAGGTTGGAAGCAATCCCTCAAATATGCACATAAAGCAGCTGAAAGCTCGTAACTTGGCTGACAGACAGGCTACATGACATGCCTACATCAATACGCTCATGCTGAAGAGCGAGCCTAGTTAAAATTCGCTCCCATCACAGCCAAATCACCAGCACCCCTGACACTTAGACAGGCTCCCAGAGAG